GGCCGGCCCCTCCATTATTATTCTAAAAGCAGTATTCAACCTTTATACAGCATCTTAAAAATTTTCAAACTTCTCTGAAAATCCTCATGAATTTTCCAAATGGAACCAGCAACCAAATCTTTAAAACCAGGACTTTACACTAATGGCAACTTCATCTATTGCTTAAGTAATAACTTGAAAGGAAGCCACCCACACAGAAAGTAATTTCTAACCTTTTAAAATTTTTATCAAAAATAGATGAAATTTTGTAAGACAACGAACATTTGCCACCCAATATCTTCATATGGGAATGACCTATTATTATTCATTGCTCCTAACCAAAAACAATTTTAGAAAGTTGATTTGAGAGCAGGAAGAATCATTTTTTCATTCAACAACACCGAGCATTTATAGTGTACTAGATGCTGTGCTAGATACCGGAAATAGTTAAATAACCAGCCTCTACCTTCAAAAAGTCTAGAAGAAAAATAAACCTAGGGGAGACATACATGAGGAGTGAACATCAAGAAATTTATAACTCCTTAGGAAAAATAATTAGACTTTGGGCACATTTCAACATTAGTTACCTTGGTACATTTAAATTTTTATAATGAAAGTAAAGGTTTGCAAAAAGCATAGTGTGCAAATTCCTAATGGAAGTTGCTTTCCACGAGTTAGCTTGATACTATTCACATAACTGTAATAGGGAAAGAATCTACTGAACACTTAATTCACATTCTTGAAGGGAGGAAATAGCTCAAAAGAAAAACCACTAAATCTCTGATCTAAAACCAGTCATGCAATTCACTTGCTATGTGACTTGAGCCAAATCAATTTCTTTCTGTCTTATTTCTTCTATTTGTCTTAATATCTGCCACTTACCTACATCAGATACATGTCAGAGTAATAAATGAGATAACACTTGCCAGACACACTGTATAAACGACTTGGAAGAAAAGTTTTATATAAACCCAAAGTTCAGTATTACAAATAAGCTTTAACTGCAAAATTTCACTCTACACCAAAAGGCAAAAACATGTCTTTTCTCAGGATCCCTATCATTGATCAAAGTTATAACTTCTATCAATGCACTTAACAAATGTTTATTTAGAACCTACGATGCCAGGAACTACTCTAAAGGCAGGGGATATGGGAGTGAGCAAAATAAATTCATGGAGCTTACATGTAGTAAATAATACATCTAGCAGGAGAATAGAAAAATAATAATAATAAATTGTGTTGCATGTTACATGGTGATAAATGCTATGGAAGTCATCTAAGCA